TAATCCTGTTGATAAAGACTTTCTCCATCCACCTTGAAGCAACCCTCACAATTTAAAATACCTTTTATATATTCAATTAAACAACTATAGGAAGAAAAGTTAGGCAAAAGGTTAGTACTGTAGTTCAATACAGAACTCCATATCATTAATGTTGTGGAGAAGTATTAGCAGAGTTGCTCAGATTCTTTTATTCCTAGGTGATTTAAGACAAGTTTTGAGAAAATGAGCTTATCTCCAGAACAATGTTAGATTTCTCACTTATTAGAGCGTTTTGATCACAATGCTACATGTCTGTTTTTATATTTGGCTCAATTTTTATAACTAGAAGGAAAACTTTCTAATTTAGAAAGTTATATGAAATATATATGTTAAAGCAAAATACAAGATGACCTAAAAAGTTTTCTATAGATAATTTAACTCCTTCAATATCAGATCCAATGAAATCCATTCATTGGCTGTCACCAAACTTTCAATAACAGAACTACTACCACAAGCTACATTACAAGGGAGTTTCCCACTATGGGGTGTGCATTACAAAGACATTATTTAACCTTTACTGATTTAAAAAATGATGTTGGAATGGCTCCTTAAAGAAGTACTTTGAGATCTTATAAATAATGTTCTAAGAAGGAGCTTGCTGTGTACAGAGATGTAATATAGAAGAAGAAAACTGGATTTAAGGAGTATTAGATAGCTCAGGAGGCTTATCATACTGGAAATGGGAGTCTTTCATCACTTAGTCAGCTCTTAAATTCATCCCTGTTCAGCAGCAACTGAGAGTCATTACTGCTTAGTGACATATGAAATGAGTTTGGGTTTTAGCCCAGATTCTAACTGGAAAGCATCCATATCATAAAAGGGAGAACCACAAATGCCTTTAATCTGTACCCTTATTGACAACTTTCCCAGATCTTACCTAAAGACTGAATATGCTTCAAGAGCTTAACTATCCTTTTAGTTGAAGAAACAGTCTCTTAATCAAGGAAGGTAAGATCAGGCTGTCACAACTCAGTAGGAAAATGCTGTTTTAATCCTAATGTACTTGTACTGGCTAATACCTCATACCTCAGGGATACTGGCCCAGGGATGGGCTCAGGGATGCTGGCCCATCTTTCATAATAATCAAAACAATTTAAAAATAAACCTGATAGACTTGTGGCATTCATCAGCATATATTCAGGAAGACAAGGTTGAGGAATCTATCTTTTGCCCTAGATTTTTCTCCCTAGATTTTTAGTTTTATCTCTAACTTATCAAGCTCACCTAAGTTATGTCACGCTCATAAGAGTTACCTAGTTAGAACACTTTGAGGCTGGTTATCTAACACCTCATCCTATGCTACCATTGTTTTTTAATTATCTTTTAAATATACTTTGAWTTGTTATAAATGACTACATCAGATGAAAAACAACGATAAACCTGGTCTACAGTCTATATCTGTGATGATCTCTGGTACAAGAATTATGTTCTGAAAAGAAAAATTACAGACACTTCATTCATTTTTTTTTTTTCCTAAAGCTAATAGGAATGTATTTTTTTCTTTTCATATTATTAATGTTTGCCTTGCCTTTTCTAGCATAATTCAGAACTGTCAGATGATTTATTCTGAATTTCAACAAGGACAAAAACTCCACCAAGTCTACTCCAGATCTTTGTATACACATCTAATTTACTTGTTCTTGAATTATTTCTAGATTAATACTAATAGAGAAGGATTCTGAATAGAGAAATATAAAAAAATGTAAATAAAATATATCTATGAGAATTCATTATAACAACCAATAACAATTATGACTAGAAGAAGGAACATAGATTTCAGCTAAAGCTTACCAAGAAGGATAAAAATTACTGCCCAATATAGCAAAGAATATTAAAAAGCTGATCTAGGAATGCAATTTCAGGACAAAATAACTTGAAATAAATACTAAAATATTTTGATTACATTGTACTTAAATATAATGAGTCAAGTTTATGAATTCAAAGGCATATAAATTTAAAATAATTATTTTAAAATGGAGAAGAAAGCATTTCTACTAAAGAACTAAAGATACATCACATGCTATTATGAAGGCATATATAAAAACTAAGAAGCTGGTGGAACGTACAATGTCTCAGCATCTCAAGAATTCTTTGACTATAATATTTAGATCCTCCTTTTGGTGAATGCTTTAGACTTTATGATATCTTATCAAAGGAAGATTTTACTAAATGTTTCATGGGCAAATTTCTGTATGATGCTTCCAAAATATTTTCACAAAATTTCCCATAAGTAGTTGTCAATTTGTTTCTGAAACTATTCTTACTATCTCTTGCTAAAACAACAGTATCTGAGAAGAAAAGACATGGGAAAAGACAAAAACAGTTTATAATAAATTGGAAGGGTTTCCTCTTATACATTTAAAGCATATCACTCCAGAATTGGAGTGAAAGAAATAGTCAATGCCAGAAGAAATGATCAATAAACCCATAACATATATTATCTATTTAAATCTGTTCACATTCATCACATTAAAGGCATATCAGCATTTCAATTTTTACCATGTCACACTGAAAAATTGAATAATCCATAAATCCATAAATCCATAAATCCATATCTGAACATAGGTATTGACAGAATCTCTATTGCAACACTGTAAAATCTAATTACTGAACAGGTAAATAGGTGTGTATATGAGGGCTAGAGCTGACTTGCTGGAGCTTTTATCCTTCTCTTCCTCTTTGAAAACTTTGTGCAAAGTCACACCTATTTATAGACAATGCTTTTGTGGTAAAAATTAAAAAAAAAAATACAGTGTGAAGAGTGGACTGATTTTCAGTTAGTCCTACTAGATATGACTTGACTAGCATTTTTCAATCCATAATATGTTACTGCTACCTTGCTGCGTTCATTACAGGCCCTATTTGGAACCATACATTTTCTGTCTGTGCTGTGAGAGTACCTAAAATTCCCCAAAGTTTTAAGTGGAGAACTACTGTTAATTTAAAAAGTTAGGCACATCATTTATGATGACATACTGTAATCCAGCACAGTGATTGAGGTGTTAAAGAACTCTGCACTGCTTACTCAGACAAGGCAACAGTTTACCAGGCTTTGCACGGTTGCTTTTGTCTTTGGAGTCATTTGAGCTAGATCAACAAGGGGTGCGAAGTCAACTAAGTCAATGGAGCTTTGTTGAGGATCAAGCTCAAATATCTAAAAAGATCTGATCTGAAAAGTATAAATACTTGGACTGCCATTAACTACCACTTGAAAAGCACAAAAGAAGCCCTCTAGTAAACTAGAAGGAAAAAATAAGTGTTCCAAATACTGATGGTTAGTATGCTACAAATGGAGCTCTGTATGATTCCTATCTTCATCTCTATTTTCTAATGGAGATAAAAACAAAACAAAACAAAAACAAACAAACAAAAAAAAAAAAAACAGAAAAAAAAAAAGAATCAAGCAAACCAGTGGCTCAGACTCCTCTCTATATTTCCACATCAGGTCTAGATATCTTTCTAGGTTACACGTTTTGGCAAAAGAAATTCTGTGTGTCAGTAGAGGAGAAACTAAATGCACTACTGAAGTTTTGTTAACCAAAGACTCAGATTATATTCAATGCCATAAAACAATGTATAATCAGGATGGAGAAAAGAGAGAAATTTAATATAATTCTTTTTAAGAATTTCTGCAAAAATGTTAATACACCCTCTTCGCCACAAGAAAAAGGCATTTAGATCATTGCAGATGATCTTAATACTGCTGTATTGCAGATCATTGCAGAAGCTCTTAATACTGCTGTGGTCTATTATGATTATTTCAAAAATGAACTTTGAATTGTTTTCAGATATGATACTCTGGAATCAGAGAGTCATTCCAATATGCAGTATGTCTAGAGATAAAGGAAACCTCTTCTAAGTGCTAATGGCTGCCCATCCTTAAGCTTGAGAGGGAATGGGAAGTTCTGAAGGGCAAGTTATCTGACTATTTTCCATGAACAGAAGTGGGTATTATGTGATTGATTTCACTGATTCAGAGAATTCACTAAAATAGTCAGCAAATTGTTTTGACTCCAGACACTTTATTTGAAATTATTTTGATATCAGAACTATGCGGTCACTTTGAGTTAGTATACCTAACAGTGAAGATAACTAGCTGCTGAAGAGTGTCCAAGGAAGGACAACAAAGATGGTGAAGGGGCTGGAGCACAGACCTTACCAGGAGCAGCGGAGGGAGCTGGGGTTGTTTAATGCGGAGAAGTGCAGCCTCAAAGGAAAGCAGTCACCTCAGGGGAGAGCTGATGGCTCTCTACCACTACCTGAAAGGAAGTTCTAGTGAGGCAGAGGTCCATCTCTTATCCAGAATATCTACAGATAGGACAAGAGGAAATGGCCTTAAGTTGCACCAGGGGTGATTCAGGTCAGACATTAGGAAAAATTTCCACATGGAAAGAGTGGTGAAGCACTGCAACGATCTGCCCAAGGAAGTGGTGGATTCACTGTCCCTGGCAGCGTTCAAGAAATGTGTAGATGAGGCCCTTAGGGACATAGTTAAACAGGGATAGGGTCAAAGGGTTTATGGTTGGACTCAATTATAGTGAAGATCTTTCCCAACCATAATGATTCTATGATTCTATGAACTTGAGAAAAACTTCAAAACCAGATAACAGCTACAAGTTCATGGGGTTGGATTCAACTTTCTTTAAATGTTCACAGTTAAGATGTATACCTCTTTGACCTCTTTGACAAGTCCACACAAGCCAGATATATAGTAAAAAGAAAAAAAAAAAAAAAAAAAGATTGGCATTTCTCACATTTCTCAAGCACAATTAATTTCATCTTAGATATTAAAAGAGATCAGATTAATCATGTCTCAAAAGGTGTGTTCCTTTCCCCCAAGTATAAAGTACAAGTATTTCAGATACACTGTAGTGATCCAGACTGAAGAAATTATATTTAGTGGGAATGACTGAGAGTCTACCGTTAATATTCTCCATCAGTCAGATGCACAAGCAACATACCTACACTCCAGTCCATTTCCTCCACTGCATCCCCATATAAGCCATGCTTGCTTTTTCCTATGAATTTTTTTGATGCGTGCAGAGCAGTATGGACATGAAGATAAGAGAGGACAAGAAGAAATGGTACATTTGTGTTCCTAAAAAACAAAAACAAATACATACTTAGTATAATTTATAACAAAAATTCTTTAAAGAAATCTTTCAAAAGAGTAAAAGGAATGCAATGTAGCATAAAGTAACTGATTGCAGGGTAAACTGAACACACACAATAAAAATTCCATTCTTGAGTACTTACTGAATTGGAAGCAAAAATGAAGAAATGTAACTAAGTACTGTTTGCTATATATACTGAAAGAGGAGTTGGTTAAAACCAGGAACTTAAAAGCATCTCTTCTTTCATTTTACAGAAACACCTAAAAAGCCCAAAAGAAAACTATTTAAAGACTTACATATAGTAGGAAATATAGCTATTTTCCTTGCAAGGTCATTATATGGAAGCTTATCAACTAGTTCAACTAGACTATGCCATAATATCATTGAGAATGTCAAACCCAGTATACTAGCACTAGCACTTTTTCTCTGTTTCCACTCTGAAACAAGTTTCATGACAAAATCTTACCATATAAGTGTACATATCATAAAATACATATCATAAATCATATATGTGTACACAGGTAAACAGTACCCAATGCATATAAAGATGCTGTATCAAAGCACAAATAATAATCTCAAAATACAAGTTATTATAGAGATCTTTTTTTTCTCTTGTAGTATTGAATATGTTCCATGTCTTCAGTCTACTTCCTGAGAAACCAAAATCAGAATGGAATAGACTCTCTGTAAATTTGGCTGTTCATGTGATCTGTCAGTGTGGTATTTATGATCAGTTGCAGCAGACTGTGAAAGTAAAGTGCAGATGAGAAATTTTCTTAGGCATTATTTATAGAACTTTACTTAAAAGTGTTAGGAGCTAGCCATATTCACTCCCATATACTTTAATAACATCTGTAGTAGATTACACAAATTGTAAATTTCAATTGAATTAGAAAAGGACTACTCAGAAAACCTATCTTGGTCTCATCTTAAAAATTCTCAAGTAACTACAGAGTATATTTGGCTTTAGTTACCGTATCGTCCCTCAACATCTTTGCAGTAGGAAATATCTGCAATTCATGTCCAGATCAAAAGAGATACTGTATATTTACTCCTACAGTAGAGGCAACAGTCATCCATCTTTTAAATGCAAGGAACAACACAGACAATGTACAAGCTATTCCTTTAGAATAAAAACAAAATCAAACCAAACCAAACCAAACCAAACCAAAAAAAAAAAAAAAAAAAAAAACCCTAATATTTATCAATCAAAAATCTGAAAAATAAAAGTCTTTGAATAAAAGGGATGCATATGACATTAATTCTCAATTAAGCAGGTTTAATCTAATGTATTTCTGATCTTTGGTTTTTTTCTTTGGTTTTCCTGTTTCCTTAGTTAGATTTTTTTTTGCATGGCTCAAGCTTTCCATTCCACTGGCATAGGCAGGCATGTTTAATCATAAAATAAGAGAATTTTATCCATATTATTCATTTCATAACTTTCTAGGTTTCTGATAGACTTTCTCTTCATAAAATGTTTTTGTTTTAGAAAACTGCACTAATATTCACATAATAAAAATTACTATAATAAACTAGAGTTCCTAAAAATAAATATTTGATAAGTTTTCATTGCATTTCACTTATTGCTAGATTGTTTGTTGCAGGTTGATRCAATGTGAATTAGGTTATATATGTAGAGAATCTTACTGCAGCAACAAAAATATAGGCTGCTTGTAACATGTCAGCATTTCAAGTCAAGAAGACGCACAATCAATACATAAGTTTAATATTTAATATTGGTATTGATAAAACACTGACCTTCCATTAAATAACATTTCATCAAGGCAGCTGTTTTTTTTTTTTTTCTCCAAACTTAATTTTTTGCAGCCTATCTGTCCAATATGTAAGTATCTTTGACTTCCTTTGACTTTACAGCTTATCTTTCCAGTATGTAAGTATCTTTGACTTCTTCCATAAAACCTATTAATTGAATTGACAGTAATGTACAAATTCTGAGATAAAACACAGCAAACATTTAATAGGTACCTGCAGTTAGGAAGGCACAATTTATTTTTTCATGCAAACTCACTTTTCTAATAGCACAGAGATCCTGCATACTTCTAAATGTATACAGGTATTGTTAAATGTGAGTGTCAAAAGTGTCCCTTGTAAATGTTATTTTCAATAGATTTTTTTTTTTTTTTTTTAGTGGAAGTGACACAAAGATTTAACTTTTGTGATGAGTTTGTGATCAATCATCTAATCAATGATTGGTATGGAAGAGCACTGAAACATTCTCTTCTTTGGAACTCGAATTGACAGGTTCTGATTGACAGTTCACTGTCAGGTGGAGAAGTGTCTCACCTATTAATATCCTATAAAAAGATCTGAAGCAGCTATTTATCTCCTGACAAAACTCTTATAGGAGAATCATAACTACTTTTACTGTGACCTTGAAAATGTAATGACAACATCAGCGAGTAGGTGGGAGAGAAATCCAACAATAACAGCTTAACTCTCCTTTTATTAACTGAAGCACTTCAGTAAACAGCTCCTTTGAAAATTTACTGCCACCATCTTCTGCACAGTTCAAACACTTGGAAGTTCATTTTCCAAAGATCTGAGATTCACTTGCTCAAATGTAGCACAAAAGTTTTATCCTGGCATGAATCACACAGTGATTACACACATCTAAAGTAAGGCATTCTTTAATGTATACTTAATTGAACTTGATAACTTCTAAGTGTGTTCTTTGTTCTTTTCATTCCTGGTGATGTCTCTACATTGCATAGTACTAGGTTCTTTTTATTTAGTGTTAAGACTCTTTACAGTATTCAAGGATTTGAATAGTTTTACTAGTTTAGACTTGAGCTTTGCTAAAGTAGATGAAAGAGTAAGTTACAGCTAAAATAAGGTCCAGCACTTTCCAGCATTTTATTCTATGTACTTGCTGCACTGAAAACTTTCTTATAGACAACTACATCCGGTACCAATGAAGACAGCCTGATTCATAACAGCTGTTTATGAGGGCAGATATACATCACCTTGCTTGTGTTAGGTGAACATTGTGCTGTGTTCAAGTTTTTTTTTAATTATTATATAATCCCCAAAGTTTTACACATTCCAGCTAATTCACTTATAACAGTCTAAGCTGAAAAGAACTATCTAAAATAGATACAGGAGTAAAAAATATTTTTCTTAGAAGGGCATGTAGATAAGACTTCATAAGATTTACTGAATGAGAATATGTAATTTTCACATAATCACAGGATACCAGAGACACAGTTAAACTGATGATAATGAAAGAAAACAAAAGCAGTGGTGTATATAATGTTATTTTCAACATAAACATGCAAGTATGTCAATAGAGGTAGATGCAAGCCTAACTTTTCCTTTCATGTAACTTCTATTAAACTTTTGCTAAAAACATTCTTCTCATTTGAGTCTAATATCCACCCAATGGATATTATTGTCTCCCTCCTCTATTTTCAGATTAGACCACAAACTTCTCATTGTTCTTTGTGATTAGACTGGTTGAATTCAATTCATTAGATTTTACTCCTGTAGAACAGAAAAATACGCTTTCAGCTTGGCATTACTGCAAAATGAGTTTGTCCTGCAGTTTTGGATTTCACTTTGTCAACAGAGCTAGTAGCATTGCTCTTTTGCATACATGAATACTTGTGACTTACTCTTTTGAAAAACACATCTTAAAACAAGTATCTTTTCATCAGAAAAAAAGAATCCCTGACCACTTGGTAATAACTTACGAAAACCAGAAAGGTGTAGAAAGAGGACTGAGAAAGGGAAAAAATGTAAAAATATACAATATGACTGTTCATAGAAGATATTCAAATGGGAAATTTGCCCCCATTACCTTGGTATATATGAAATGGTTCTTCAATGCAAATTGCCAAGATACCTTTGATATTTATATTTTCTTGCCTATCCAATCATTTAAATACTTGAGGYACACAGTTCATGTATGTTCTTTTATACATAAACATGTTTCTTCCCTTCAAAAAGCACATTCTTGCAAGCATGATAAAAATGAAAATTTTCACCTACTACAATTATTATTCATTACTAAATCACTCTCCCACACATACACGTGGAATTTAGTATGCAGATCTACCTGCCTTTACAAAGTGTTCCATTCACAAGGCAATCTGCCAATTATTASCTACCTAGCTATGTCCTTAATCATTCATAATTGGTTTTATTCATTCTCGGATGGCCCCAAAGCATATAAAAAAAAAAACACAGTTTCTTCCTGCCAGGTCTTCTAGTTATAAGTAACAAGCACAGTTCTGAGAAAAAGGGATGGATATCCAGTAAAGTTGCTATGGATTATAAGTTTTTTTTTTATATATATCTGAGCATATACATTGTATGTATACAAAAATACACCGACTCTTTTCTAAAATCTGTATTTTACATAAGCTATAGGGAAAATTATCATAGAAGTCATAAAATTATATGATTTCAGAGCTCTAACTCCTGTTAATTCTTTGGTTCCAAAGGAGACCTCTCCAACACTCCAACTATGTAAGTTTAAAACCTACTGTTCTACAGCAAAACTCAGGTCTGTTACAGTAGAAGAAAATGAAACTGTATATGTTTTGTATCACTGTTTCAAAGATTGAAATAGAATAGATTAGAATAGAATAGATTAAATAATAGAATAGAATAGATTAGAATAAATAATAGAATAGAATAGATTAAAAAGTTATAAATTTAGTAACTATAATCACAAACTTTTGAGTACTATGGCTGCAAAATCTTTTATGGAAATCAGTACATCTGCAAGAAAAATTCTTCAAGTATTACTTTTACAATAACTTTCAATTACAAGTATATACAGTCCCTAACAAATATCTGTTTGTTAGGGAGGTATTCTGTAGTACAGAGTGGAGAAGTTTAAAATAGGTCTTTGACATTTTCAAAATTCAAATTGCTTGTGCAACAGATCTTTCAATAAAGGATACTCTGAAGTGACACAACTGGTAACCACATTTAACTCACCAGAAAATAATTAGTCTCCTCCATCTGATTTTCAAATACACTGTAATGTCTACAGAGTATTCTGAAAGGTTTACAATATGTATACAGACTTGCTCTTGGGAAGAAGTAATTAGAATTAACTTGCACTGAGCTGACCTGTCCACATACAATGAGTGTGAGCAACTAAATTAGTATTTGTTTTCATCTACTGGATCTGACATTTGTGATTGTATCTTTTCTTGCTCAGTGTAGTACCCAAGCATTAAATACTGTACTTCCTGTCCTTCAGTCTGCCTTTAGGCAAATTAAAATAGTAACACACACACAGGAGAAGAAGGAAGAACAAATACAGTATTATCTCCCTGAAAGTAGAGCAAGAATAGTAAGTATAACAGCTATCTGCTAAGAAGAAATTCTAAAAAGGCTCGAAAAAGACCCAGTACTATGGTGTTATACAGCTAGCAGTATGAATGAAAAGTAACAAGATAAAAAAAACTAACGCACAGAAAATCTGTTGACTACAGTCTAGAGTACTTAGAAAGGTGTATAGAAGACATGTTGTATGATATGGGCATCCAGATTAGGAAACAGAGTGCATATGAGATGTATCAGAACTGCTGAATATCACAATCTTTCCATGTAATTATTGTAAAGACAACTAATCAATTACAATAAGCATGAAAACTGATATTTTTTAGTTGGATGACAGAATATATTAACAACTGGTTACAAAGAATAACTATCTAAATTCTTTGAATTCAGGATTCTTTGAATCACTATGCTTGTACACATGGATTACTGCCATACCACACTGAGCTTGTTACTCACCACATTAGCCAAACAAAAGAAACCTCTGTTAGAAATCAGATGTTGAGCTGACCATGTGGCCAGACAGGCACAAGGGCAGAGCAAGCCTGTCCCACAAAAGAAGTGGAACCACACAAATACTTTGGATCAAGAAACTGTGGCTTCCAAAAATATGGTGGCTATTTGCTGAAGAGGGCTGCACGTCTGCTCCAAGCACCCTGATTGCCTGTATACTGCCATTCCCCTACAAATGGCCTAAATCAGTAGATTATAAGCAACATTATGCTGGAGGACTGGAATTGATAGGTATGAACTACTTAATGTCAGAAATAATGTGTTACTATTGATTTTATTGTTCATACTATTATATGGAACTGACCAGTTCAGTGTATATTAACCTATTTACTCTTTTCTCCTGGAGCAAATTTTATAGTCATATACTTTGCATGTGACTTTGCTGCAGGGCACAGTTAAGATTGCTGGGATAGCCTGCGTGTTTCTCAACACCTTAATATGCTTGGATATTTTTAAATTTAGCGTTGACTCTGAATCATGTCTGTTATAATTCTCAGTATAATTGCAGCATTCCTGTAATGTAGTTTACTGTAAATTACCAATATGTGCTATTAACCTTTGCTTCAATTTAAGATAATTTTTGTCAGGAAACCATCCTGAGAACCAGGGGCAAATGCCAAGCTAATCTAAATGCACTTACCTCCGGTTGAATCAACAGAACTATGCTGTTTAACCACCATATGCTGTTTAACCATCTCTAAATACTAAGCTACAGAATAGCATTTTGCACGTTACAAGCATTAGTAAAGAAAGTTACTAGTTCTCCAGCACACATTCTCAAACCTAAACTCATCTGTCTCAGGCTAGCAATTATATTGCCATTACACTTTTAAAGAATGAAACGTTCAAATATATCCAAAAAAATTTTAACCACTGCAGGCACCTTACATACAGGCAAATCATGGGAGAATCTGCCAGCATTTAGTTAATGTGCTCTTTGAAGAATCTTTTATAGCACTTGGTCACTAACCAAGCAGCCTCTGCCCAGCAATATTCAAGGGTGTGTGTATGAGTTTGCATCTTGATATGTTTGCAACAAGGAAAATATTTTGCTGTCCAAATAATTATATTAGAAAGCATCTATGTCTATCAGCATAGTTAATGGAAAATAAAGATGCAAAAAACTATTTGTAAATAATTGTCAGAATGTTGATTGTTGGGAGAATCTAAAGAAATTTCATCTCATTTTCTTTCTTGAACCAAGAAAAATATTGTTTGATATCATGAGTACAGATAGTTATATCAAATACTTAGAGTGACTGAAACATGGAATAGAAAATTTGCAGTAAAAGATTAGTATTTTCATTTTTCTAGATAAAAGTCTTAATAACTAGTTTAGTGAAATTTTCTCAAATTCTTTGTTGCTTTTATTAAGTAATGATACTATGTGAATATCTAGTAACTGATACTATCTGTATAAACTATAAACTTTGTATGTTTAAAAACATGATCATATATTTGATCAACTTTTTTTTAGAAATGATGCTATCTGTTTCAAAAGTTACCGAGAATAATTCATTGGCATGTTTTTCAGGAAGCTACATGGATGAAATAATTTTGATTCAAATATTTTGATTTGTATTTTAAAATATAAGTTTTATATTTTGATTAATATTTTTAAAATCCACATGTATGCTTTGATCATACATACATACACATAATTGGGAYGAGATTGGAAATAAAGTTCATTAGGCCATAGTTAACTTTGCAAAAATCATCATCCAATGTTTGGGTCATATAGTGTGATTCATATTAAAAAATGACACTCTAAAAAAAAATTGATTACCAATCTTCTGTAAATCACATCTTTTTCAAAACGAATGTCACATAAAAATGGTGTCTTTCAAAATCACAGTAGCTTTAAGAAACTGGCCTTATGAAYGCAATTTAATGGATGCATCAAAAAAGAAATGTTTCTCACAAGAAAAATCAAAAATTTTGATTCTACATAGTGCTAAATTTCTATAATCAGGTCAAATTAGAGAAGATTTTTCTTATTTTTAAGTTTCACAAAACTCCCAAGAATGGAAGTTCTAAAAAATGTTAAAAGTTTAATAAATATTTTTAAGGGACATTCTGAAACCAGTAACTAGTCCATGAATCTTACAGAGGTACCCCATACAAAACACCAAACAGGTTAAGATGAAGTGACAGTTTTCCCTATGGTATACCTAGTTTCTACTTTAAAACGGTCACTTTCACTAAGCAGATTAACTATCATCTTCAGTCAACTTTCAAAGAAGGAAATTGCAATAATATATAATGACATTTTCTTCTTGTACACTAGTTTGCATTCAATACTTAATAAGAAGTGCTATCATTTTAAAATGCCAGCATAACTCCTAACACAGTTAAAAACTTACCTTCCTATAAACTGTATAGCTTCTTTTGTTAGTCTCTGAGTGAGGTTCTCATATGACAGTGGTTGCTGGATAATCTGATGGTTCCTCATTAAGAAGCAGTTCAGGTATCGATAATTATAAAAGAAAAAAAACAAAGCAAGAAGTAAAATAGCAGTTATTAGCAAGCAATAGCCCAATGCTCGGAAAGGTATTTTGAGGAAGCCAATTAAATGCACTGTTGCCAAAGAGACTAGAGTGATTCCAATGGTTTCCATTAAGGTAGAAATGGATTTTCCAATTCCTTTTAAAAACACACTGCCTTGCCCAAGTTTGCAGTCTCTAAGATTGGTCACGGTAATCCCATAGAAGTAATCAAATCCATGATTGAGGGGGTGGTGACAGAAGTCATTACTGCTTTCACAGTTCATCCCAAGATGCCACTTTCCTACAAAGAGATGGGAAAAGAGTATTTTTGCAGTTAAATCATCAGACTCAGGACATGCACCCTTCCAAATATGAAACTGTCTGATATTCTATATATGACCATATATATTCTATATACAACTGATATTCCCCAAGCACAACATTTATGGTGCGTATCCCTATTTTATTCTCAATCTATTCATTATAATTTCTTCAAAGATTTTGTTTCAAGTCTGCTGTTCTTTTCAGTTAGAAATAGCTTGGCATAGTACCTGGCAGAGACCATTAAATTCTGAGTGGGCTAGCAGGTCACTGAAGAGCAACAGAGCTCTAGCAGATAGTTAACTTTGAAAACGAAGTCCTTCTCTATAGTGTAGTGTAGTGTAGTTAAGGAGTTCATAATAAAATACAGTTTTGTACCAGCTACCACTTTCTTTAGAAGAGCCAATATGGAATTAACCACACTTCTGAAATTTATTGGGCAGATCATTCACATTTGACTAGCTTTAAAAATAAAACTCTAACAAAGAGGATGTAAAACAAGTATGTTAAAATTACAAAAGCATTTATTATTCAAATGATTGTAAAATCTCCAGAATTATCAATTGACACTATCAGCCTTAATTATTGTTTCTTCTTTGCTTGGGTGGGGAGTAAGACAGATATGTAAATACAAATAAGTAAATATTTCTCTATATATACAGATATATATATATAAAAAAAAACCACTAACAAGCCAATTACCATGAAATATTGCTTCCCATAGCATTTTGTCACATTGAGAAACACTTCTATTTCTGCAATATGTTGCACACTGACTGGCATAAGGCAAATCAGTGTGCCTGATTTGCGGTACAGTGGAAAAAAATATGTCCATAATGATTGCAGTATGTATTTAGGAAATTCACTCTGCAACGAAGGTACAAGGCTTTACTGCATGCTTGTGCAATGCTTAGCGTAACAGAGCTGTTTACTAGCTGCTGTTTTCATTCAAAATTATAATGAATAAGAACTACAAATTCATCTTGACTCMATGCATCATGCTCTAGTTATGCCTGTTGACATAAACGTTGTTTGGACCAATGCTATTTGGTCTCAGAAAGGACATGTGTCAAATACTGGACAAAAACTTTTAGGGCCACCCTTGTTAAAACAGATGATAATTTATATTACTAGGCCAAATTGTATTTATTCTTTCTAAATCAAATAACTAAATGTAACATAAACTCAGTAACTAAATATGCCCACAGTGGTTGTGATCTTAAAAGAAATAAATAAACATAAAACCCTCCAAACCTAGTAAGACCTTACCCCCATAATATACCCTAAGAAATATGCAATATTTTGTTCAATAAGCTTTTAGAGGAAAATATATAAAATGGAATAAAGTACATACAGAATTTTACACTTTTCATAGTTATGACAGCTTTTGCACACTGTAAAATTCCCCAAAATCTCCCCAAAATCTAGAGCAACATATACACATTCTGCACTTCAGCTTTTGGAAATGATAAATATGGGCACTATAGTGTCAGAGAGAGTAAAGAGGAGGGTCAGCTCTGATTTTAAGCAACAGCATTTAACAAATGGCTTCAGTGTCGGCATTTCTCTGTAACAGATAGCAGGAATAGATAAGGAATGGAAGCACACTTATCTAAGTTCTCTCCTCAGTAAAGATGGGAGTCTAATACGATGTTTAATTTTCTAAACCATAAACATGGTAAGTATCTAGATTTCCTGGCACATCACTTGATGGTCTTAGGTTAATGTGCCTAGAAACATCATCAATGTATCACAGAAGCAGCATAAAAGCATTTTCTAATGTGTTTATGTTATGGTTGTTTTTTCTCTCATTCCATTTGAAGTTTTATCATATACTGTCAAGATGGCCAACTTAACCTCAAAGGCTATTCTGTTTCCCATAGAAAGAATGATTCAATTTCCTACTTTTGAAATGGTCAAAAGTGAACAGACTGAATGTGACTGATCATGAAAATAGCAATGTGAACATCATTCTGAATTTTTAGAGGATAAAACTGTGCCATAACAGGCTAAGACTGAAATGAAGTTGGGTCTCAAAAATATCTGTTTGGAAACAATTCAAATAAGGCAGAGACAGTGCACATTCGCTGGGAAAAACAAGAGGAGTAGAGGTACAAGTTATGTAGTTAATTGACTGAAAGATAGAGATGCCATTTTTTAAGGGGTGATAAGATAGTTTCAATAGGCCTTATTGTTCTGAGAAGAGATGTCTGGGCCCACAAAACCTATTTTATTAGTTTCTTTGACGGCTATACTATTCTTTAAGACAGTAAATCCTGCTTTGAACTAGCTTTTCAATAGATGATTGTAATGTGCTTTACATTCTAGAATCTTTCAAATCCAGGGGCAGTGCAAAATACTCTCAGCTCTTTACTAAGTTAACCTATATTATAAATTCTTCAGATAAGCATCATACAATTTTCAGCAGATTCTACAAAAGCTTTTGAGTGAAATTTAAGCTGTTAATTGCATATTATGAGTACTTCAATAGTTTTGGATCTAATTTTTTTTGTTCTTCTGCCACAACAAAGATTTCTGCAAAGTAAAAGCAATGGTAAAGAACGGTACATAAGAAACAAATCCAATCCATCTAAGAAACTTAATTTGAAACTCACTTCTCTTCTTGCTGCTCCCAAAGCTATAACTCTAGGGAGGCTATAAAAATCCATGTTTTTCTCCTATCTTCAACTCAGCTGTACATATTTACTAGTGTTTCTTTTAGCATGCTTTTGTGCTCTTTAAATAAGGTAATAGCCTGTAGTGTATGACCATGCATTTATAGTAGTTAAAACAGTATGGACCTACTTTCACAGGTTCTCTTGGATTAAGAGAACTGTCATAGTCTTTTCTTCAAAACACTGGCATTCCTTGCTACTATCCAGGATCCTAAACTGGTGAAATACTTCAGATTCAGTGCATCTGCGTTTCTAAAAAGACTTGGCTTTCTTGCAGACTTTTCAACTGGGTATCTTCCTGTCAGATCTGTTGCATGTCACCTTCTTTGTGTCAAATGAGAAGGACAGTGAGGTAAAATAATGTATGCGTAAAATATATTTATAGATAAAATATATTTAGGGGCATAGCAAGCAAAAGAAAGTACATATCCAAAGGATGATAAAAAAAGGGAAAAATGAAGGAAAATTAATTTAGAGAATAAAAAAAAAAAACGCCATTAATGATCAGGAGGGGAGAGAAACTTGGCTAAGAAAAAGTAATGATAGTACAGGCTTGAGGAAAAGAAAGACTTCACATTATCCTTATGCCAATCCATCACAGATGCAAGATTTGACAATTAATTATTTGGGAATTGCTTAGTTAGACTGAGCCAAGCAATGATTCCCTGACCTAGGCCAAGATGAGGTAGTAAGAATACCAGCAGAAGAATAAAACAGGTGGACTGGGAATTAGAAACTTTCTCTTCCTCAAATCTACATAATTTTTCTTTTTGTCATTTACATATGCTTTATACTTAATTTTAATACTCTTCTTGATTTTCTGGAAGGCTTCATTATACTCTAAGGGTATGGTAATATTACATTTTATGGTATCATAGTTATCATTTAGGCCACTTGGAAGAACTGTTCATTAAGCATCACGGACATAGCTTCTGGAGATATAAGTGGCAAGTTGTCATGTTGCAGTGAAAGTAGTTAAAAAAAAAAAGAATGTTAACCCCAAAAATGAATTGTATTACAGTGATAGCTACAAACAGAAGAATGAATTTTCTGTAATCTTTAATTGAAGATGGAGCAACAGGAAGTAATTCCATGAGGAGCATGACAAATTATTCTATGAGTGGCTTTGTCATACTAAGGTTCAGATATATGTGCATTATTCATATTTCTATTAAGCCCTCTGTTTTTCTGATCTTGATCTGTGAGGACTTGAAGATATCTTATACTTTCAAAGTAGTATAGCAAAGTAGACTTGCTTAGTTAGGAACATCAGCACTGAGCTGGTACATAGTACAGATTTTTTTTTAAACAATGATTGGAATTGCTAAATTATGCCTGCAATTACAAATCAAGTTGGGTGCATACAGGTTTTAAAGAAACACTGTAACATACCTGTATGACCCTTTCTAAATAACTATTTCCTCCAAGGAAAAATGTATAGAGCTCAGTAGAGAAAGGCAATATATATTACTTAATATGAGCTGTATTTCACAAATATCTGCTGAAATGTAAGCAACATGGAATAAACCTTTCTCATTATTTAAATGCTATACCTGTATGACATTCACTTCAACTGTCTTTCATACTTACACAGTGGGGCCTCTCTTAGCCATCATTGGGCATTTATGTCCAAGTTGCTTGCCCAAACTACTTTTATAATGAGAGAGAAAGGTACCTTTTTATACTAAAAGCCTACCACAGATGAGACAAACTTCCTAGAAATGACTATTTTCCTCCAGTAACTAAGAGAATAATCCAGATGGTTAGCTCAGATATTAGTTATCTACATTATGAAAATATGTGAAGACAAGTGAAATGAATCTGATTGCTGCCTGCTTTGTACCCTAATATCTCACTCTCTCTCTGCCGCAGAGTTCTATTTTAAACATATACTGAAAACTTTCCATAAGATGGACTAATTTTCAATTTGTTATACATTTTTTCATTACGTTGCACAATGAATCTACAACTATACAGGTGAATTAGACAAACTTACATGATGAGTGTTTCATATATGCATGGCAATGTATATATGCTCAACTTCGTATTAAAAAAATAAACTTATTTTGCTGTGGGAAAAAAAAAAAAGCGTAATGCAGACATTTAACACTTTAGATGGGAAATTAAAGTACTTCTGATTCAAATGAATGAAAAATAGCATTTTGCAGTTGAGCAATTTTACCTATTAGAGCTGTTGAATAACCTCTCTGCTTCAGGAGTTTGGAAAAAGTTATTTCTTCAGAAGGAAGCCCTCCAGAAGAGGCAGAAAATAAGAAGACACCAACTCGTGAGTGGGCAGCCATTCCTAAATACCATGAAAATGAGTGAGAACCTAGATAATATAGTGAAACAGTTTTCATACATTCTGTATGCACTTTTTTCTTTAAGTTGCATCACTTAACATATTGCCACTGGCTACTATGAAATGTAAGTGGCAGACCAGTTAGTTGAGTAAAGCGATTTCTCTACTGCCACCACAACCTGAGAAAAAAAGAAAAAATTCTACTTATAATAGTGCAGCAGTTGCACAATTATGCACATAAGCAGTTGCAGCCCCCTCTGTGGACGTTTTGAGGTATAACATATCTTAAAGAAGTTCAGCTTGCTTAATTCAGTTTTCTTCTATTCTTCTGCTAAGGGAGCTAGGGATTAAACATGACCACTCTCAGGTTTTATTCTCATTCTGACCACTTTCCTTATATGTGACTTTCTACAAGTCTATAAGACTATCTGAGAGAAAACAGTTGAAAATGGTAAATTGTACTGCCAGGCACATAAAATCACATTATCAAAAAGGAGAAGGAAAAATTTGATTCAGAAAAAAACTACGATTCAGATTTTGTGGGAAATGCCTCATGCTCAAGTGGCATGAACAGACATTCTTAAATTCCAGTCTGGGTGCATTAAAGCAGCATCATGTATGAGCTAGCAAGGAAATATGTAAATAAGGCACAGTAATTTCTATACACAGTCTGAAAAGCACAAACCTGGGCTTATAAGCCTGGGTTCAACCGTGTATAAGGAACTGGGGAGCCCAGGTTCATGAAAATTTGATTACTGCGATTCCAGATGAGAGTTGGCTTGGAATATAAACAGAACAAAGAATATCTATGCAAATCCGTGCGGATMTCTTTTCAAGAAGTCTGAAATACGCAACTGAATAATTGCACTGACAAAATTACATGCCTAATATAGGTAGCCAGAATCTTCCCTTAGGCATTCATTGTGGTTAGAAGAAAAAAAAAACTTGCTAGACTAGCTCATTAAAACAGGTCTACCTACCTTTCAAATGCTGCCTGCAGCTTTTTACCCTTATTCAACATACTCAGTTTTATTGATAAACAGCTTAAGTAGCTTTAGTCATCCATATTTGTACTTTATTTGAAGGTATATTTTGAACTCTCATAACTGAAATTATTGCAATTTCACTAAGTTACTGGAATCAAAAAAAAAAAAAACGTTTTACTACATTTTGGAATATATATTTTTTTCAATGCTATTAAAAGGGTTTTCACATTTCTTTTTTTCTTCTCCTCATTTGAATCTTCCAATCTTTTCAAAGATTTTTGTAAGATTCTAATATCTTTCAAAATAACCCTCTATTAGCTTCTCCTTGATGTTTAAAAGTAATCCATAATTAGTAATTCCTAATTTTATTAAGACAAAATTCATTTTTGTAGATGAATGGAATTGATCAGGTAAGACTGCAAGTATATCAGCCAAGAAAAAAAAAATCAGTTCAAATGTCAATTTTTCAGAAATAAGAACAAGAACAATAACGGAAAGTGACCTGTGGCTTAACTTACAACGAATCTTAATAGCACTATAGTTATAACACATAAATACATTTTTTCCTTTTAGCAGAATGTAATGGAAAATTCAGCAAGCCATATAAGCTGGCACTTCTGCAGCAGCTTGTTACTTGATTTGAATGAACATGAACACATCAAGTAGGCTCCAGAGTCTTGCTTTGCTTTCATTCCCAGAAGCAAGGACAGGATGTTTTATCACTAATGAACAAGTGATCTGATTAATGTATAATGATCCTTGTTAAAAATTATGTTAAGGGAATGATAAAGTGGCATAGTTAAGCACTGAGAGGCTTAGTCCCAGGCTGTTAAAGTAAACACATGATTCTTTTATTGTCTTAAATGGCCTTGGATCAGACCCTTTAAAAGTAACAAAAGTTATTAAAGTTACATGTACTTGCTGGATTCTTAGCACTGAGAATGGGAATATATGAAGAGAAAATACTTAGGAGGAAGGAAGGATTTTTGCTTTCTTCTCCCCAGTTTCAAAATTTGCTGGAATATCTTCATGAATTTTCATTAGGAAAAAAAAAATTAATTTGTCTAAATCAAAAGGTTTTAGGAAAAAAAAAAGAAATATCTCAGTAAGAAAGTTTAAAATAAATTCTGCCTTGTGTCTTCCTAAGAAGGAATAACTGTTTTTCAATATTCCCTTCTCTAGATATCGCTCTTAAACGCTACTTTTCATGCTTCTACAGGAATACATAAGAAATATGGCTCAGTCTGAGGCCCCATGGAATCCTCTGCAATCTTCAACACTCAGGCTGTCATCACCACTGGGAGCAGCTTGAAGGGAACTAGGGAATCAGAGAGGCCTCTATCATTTAGACAGTGGAACAAGTACATGAACACTGATTGTTATTTCCACTTAAATAATCATAGAAAGATGTTTTCCCCAATATTTTAAATAATCCTTCCTTCCTTCCTTCCTTCCTTCCTTCCTTCCTTCCTTCCTTCCTTCCTTCCTTCCTTCCTTCCTTCCTTCCTTCCTTCCTTTCTTCCTTCCTTCCCTCCTTCCTTCCTTCCTTCCTTCCTTCCTTCCTTCCTTCCTTCCTTCCTTCCTTCCTTCCTTCCTTCCTTCCTTCCTTCCTTCCTTCCTTCCTTCCNCCTTCCTTCCTTCCTTCCTTCCTTCCTTCCTTCCTTCCTTCCTTCCTTCCTTCCTTCCTTCCTTCCTTCCTTCCTTCCTTCCTTCCTTCCTTCCTATTTCCCATGTTTGGAAGATTTCCAATGTTGACCAACTCTGATGAGCTTTATTTGGTACTGACCTAAATTCCAATATGGATAAAGACATCAAAAAGGAGAGAGATGAAAATGCACATGGCTTATTGCAAATTAAGTAAAATAGACATATTATTACAAATATGAGATTTTACCTGATCTGATAGGATATCGTCCTGTCAGGAAAGCTGCTCTACTTGGAGTACAGAGTGGGGATGCTGCAATATGCTGAGTAAGTGTCACACCATCCTTGGCTAGCCTGTCAATATTTGGTGTTCTAGAAAAACATAATTGATATAAAATTATTTAGAAACAGGCATGGTTCGATCAAAGCATCCAAGGCAAAAGATATCACATAACCAGTGATATATCCTAGTGTAGGCAAATTATAAAAACCATGATGGTATTGCAAGTTTAAATTTAGTCCTAGCAAATATGCTTATCTTTATTAGGTGTTAATACTGAAGTGGCTTTGTGGCATCGTGCCAAAAATCGTTTCCCACTTTCATTCCCTTGCCATAGACATTAAAAACTGATCTGTTACACCTGGCCCTGTGGTATTTCAACACCTTTTTACTTATTTGTAGAACCAAAACTTTGCTACTTAGATGGCTTATTGCTTTAGCCATGGGGACAGACTCCAGAAAGATGCTGCTTCCTTATTCCCTGTTTGGTGGTGCATCTCCCCAGAAAACAGAGACAATAATGAGGTCATTTTGAACCTGATTGCCCCAGAGACAGTATCAATTGCCCTGGATAGTGAGATAATCTCTGTCATATGGAAGATGGATATTACCATCTTAGCACCATTGCCTTTGGCTGATCAATAAAATTACGTCAGCTGAAGAATGAAGGGTTACAGGAAAAAATGGAAAGTGACTACTCACAGAAAAGAGTAGGAGGAACATGGATATTATCACTTTTTAGGAGAGACTTAAATGGTCATGACTGTTCATTAATCTCTATGGTAATGATGTTTACAAACTACATCTGTAATATTAGCCTCAGGAGCACTTTCGAGTTTTCAAATCTGCACATGAATGCATATGAAAATAGGTTTCTGCAGAATGAAATCCTGTGTCTTTGGTTCTACAGAAAACAAACATAAGAATAAATAAAAATCCTAGGCATGAATACTAGTCAAGAACTGCAAAGTGCTCTAGTAACTCCTCGATTAATGACCATGACCTCAAGGCACACTACATTCCCTTATTCTGTCAGCTGACTAGTCAGAAACATTAATTTTCCATCTTTTTTTTGCTATAATAACATCTATAGAAAACTAGCGACATAAAATAATTCCTTCATACTCCAAAATTTAATTACAAACTGCCACATCAGAAAATGTTCTTTCAATATTCCTGATCCTTTGCTTGGGAAGGAGTGACACAAACATCTGTGTTTATTTATTTATTTTTTTCTTGTTTAAAACCAGAAGTTGTAAGATGAGTTGTTTTAGTGAGCTACAAGAATCTCCCACTTACAACAAATGTTAACAGGGCACTTAACATTCAACTGGACACTGCCTTTAGTCTGAATGTTCTATTTAACTTTTGATCACAGCTTCTTTTTGCACCACCAAAATATGGTAAGTAGGCTCAGCTTGTGCTTTTTACACAGTAATGATTACCCTGGGGAACACTGCTGTATTAGTCAGGTGTATTAATATTGGTTTTAATGAATTTAAATTACTACAGTACAAAGACAAGGAAAAAAATAGCACTTTCCTCCAAATAGTTAGTGATATGTTCTTCTCAAATCATAAGACTTCTTCAAAATATACATAATTTATATTTGTACTAAAATAACTTTTAATAAAATTATTGATTATACTTTTCTTTTTCTAGATCTTAAAGTTATTTTGGTTGCTCAGTTATCTATTTAAAACACAATGCTTTAGTGGGATAAATCACACGAGATAAGCATTTTCTTAGTAAAAAAAAAGGAGATTGAAAATTTAGCTTGATAATATATAGAGAAACTTATCAAAGGTCTCCACATTTATATTAAATTTACCTATTTACAGAAAAAAAATACATAATTGCCCTAAAAATATCATCATACCGTAAGGTTCTGTTCCCGTAGCATCCCAGGTCTCCAATACCAAGATCATCAGCCATTAGTAAAATGGCATTGGGATTTGAAATATTGTGACTATGGACATTCCTTATGGCACACGGGCAAATTATTAGAAATAAAAGTTGTATCATCTTCTTCCTGGTGTGTAAGAGCAAGTGGAAACATTATAGATAAAAACTGTACATTTTGTTATTTGAGTATTCCTCTGACTTAGTCCTATTATTGCTTTGGATTTCACAGAAGAAAAGAAAGATTGTCTTTGGGAATGGAGGTGCCTTTTTTCTCAAGAGTTTATTCTTTTTATTTTATATGTATCTGATGTCCCTCTCTATCCCTTCCACCCAGAGGCAAGGCTTTTAAATAAAAACAGAACAGTAAACAACCTCAATGACAGTACTTTTGTATAAACAGATGCATTATCAATAAATCATGACAGCATGCAAGGTTTTTTTATTTTTTTTATTAGTTTTAAATTTATTTTGAGAAACATAGAAACTGAAATCATTTGGGATCACATTTTCTAACTTAAGAAAAAAAATCATTAAATTCTTCCACTGAAGTAAATGATTAAACTTTTCTTCACAATGGAAAAAAAAAATCCATCTGGATTTTCTTGAAAAGAGTAAACATTATGGCAAAAGGAACAGAGGGATTACCAAATTATAAAAGTGAATGTTTTTATTTAAAACCAACCAATCAAAAAAAAAAACCCTTCATAAATCTTTTAAAAAAATCAGTCCTTACAGCAAAATTATGTAAAAATGTTATGTTTCCTTGTGTTAGCGAAAGCAAAGGAAAAGAAGACAGAGGCAGAAACTTGGAAGTGAAGTAATAGGAAAGGGAAAGGCAGGGAATTCAGGAGAGACTGGGGACAACAGATTACAAGTGAAAAAAACTGTAAACTAGTGAGCTATAATAAATAAGTACCTAGACAAAAGATAAAGTAGACAGAACTGGAAGAATTCATACAAAGAGACTAGACTGAAGGAAGATAGATGCATAGATCATTAAGATGTGGGTAAAAGTAGCTATAGAAAAGATAAAGAAGATAGAACTGGAAGAGCTTGTATGGACTACAATGAAGAGCTAGGAGGGAAAACAGTCATCTGGAAAGAGAAATGAGTGGTAGCAATGAGGATTGACAGAGGGCTTAAGAAACTGGAAGGGATAATATGACACTGGTGAGACAAAGAAACTGAGGAAAAGAGGTGAGTGAAATGGGAGACACCGGGACAAAAGAAGAGTGGAATTATGATTACAAAAGATGAAGGGAATTTATTGGAAAGAAAAGCATGAGTAGAGAAGTCTCAGGACTGGTACAAGTAAGAAGAGATCCAGATACTGGAGATCAAGCAATACAGACTGGGACTTGAAAGTCCAAACTTGCATTATTGGCATTCTATCAGAAAGAATACATGCAAGTAGTGCTGGCTCACACACAGCATAAAATGCTTATTTTTTAATATTAGCTAATTCTTAGTGTTTGATATACACAGTGCAGAGTTTACCCTGTGCAGTAAATTTGCTCTTCTTGCCTTGAATTGCCTCCTACATGTTGCAGGGTAGCAACTAAGACACTGACTTAGTGTTCTGACCCAGGACTGAAACAACTTGCTGCAGCATCTTATGTTCCTAGTAGAATGTTCTGTTATTGTCTATTACTAGAATCTAAGGGTCATGATAACACAGAGGTTGACACATATAGAATATTGGTGACCTATACAGAATTACATGGGCACTCAAAGGATCTGTACATCTATTTCTGAGAATCGTTGAGTACCTTCAGTCTCATTTAGGCTTCACATTGTCCATGCGTACCTCTGAATAAAATCTAAAAATAAAACACTCTCAACACTAATAAAAGCATCATTTTACAGACACCAAGCTAGCTATTTTTTGGTAGGTTTTACAAACAGCAATTCCAAGGTATAATTTAACCAGTAAAAACACAACACACTGCACATTCATTAGAAGATGGAGCTGTCCCGAGAATCTAAGTGAGAGGTCCTCAGCCACTAAAGAGCAGAGCAAACTCATTGTCCTTCAGAGAGTGAAGGTACTGTCTTTACCTCAGTACAGACAGTATTTTGTTTTCCATATTTAAAAAATGTAATAAATGTGTGAAATATTGTACTTAACTGAATACTGCCTCTGTGAATTTTAAAGACTTTTCAAATCTTTGTAGCAACTAGATTCAGTAGGATGAATATAGCACCCTACTCATTGAAATATTTAAAAAATTAATTATCATGGACAATCTTTAAAATCTCCCACTGTATATGTTATAGAATCTCTTTAAATAATATTTAACATAATCAGCTAAGGAACCTGTTATTAAGATCAACTGGATCATTGTCATTTGCAAAGCCACTGAAAATGTCTTACTGTCTGGAACTCTGGAAAGGTTAGCCTAGTAGCTCCAGTTCTCACTTTGCAAATCCACAAAAATGTGTTAATAGAAAGATATCTGTGATGCAGTACTGCTAAGACCAGTCTGATCACACATCTGCAAGTATTCTCAGATTTGGGGCTGGGTTTCTTCCTCCATAAAGTCCATACAGTAAAAGGAATAAGGAAACAGAGAAACAAAATCCCAATAACTTTGATCTCCCTGGCCTATTTTTTTCTGCACAGCACACTGTCATGCAACTTGAAGAGACATACTTAGAAAACATAACAAACAGGATGGACAAAATTGAGTGGAATATACAAAAGAAAGAAATACAGAGCATTATAAAGGGAAGCATGTAAAAAATAAAGAATGAAGCTCTTAGCACACTGTCCTAACTGTCACATCAGTGTATTTAATGGTGAATAGTTAAGCTTACAGGCATTTAACATGAAAATTATTACACTGAATTAGATGAAGTGTTTACTTAATCTAATATTTAGCCTCCATCAGAGGCCAAACCACAAGCTTATGGAAAGCACAGTAAGAAATTTGCTAAATACCTTCTCACTTGTGTATTCTGAACTAATTTGAATTTTTTTTGACCTTCACAACATCCTACGCAGTCTTCAGGTTTAAAGGATTATATACTAGACTCAGGTGTGAACATTTTTCTTTAATTATGTGTTAGACATGTAAGTGCTATTTTGAATCCCTGCTCCACTTCCTCTACTGTAAAATAGGACTATTAACACATCTTTTCCTCATAAGGTGGTTGATAGTTAGAGAAGATTTCAGATGATACTTAATTTTCTGCAGCAATAGAAGCCACATAAGTATTTCAGATCCATACATTCACCCAGTTTCAATCTATAAAAAATTGTAATCAATATATATGAAGATACATATACAAGTATATATAGATAAATGTGGCCACATACACATCTGCACATGTATACAGGTGTACAAATACACATACCATACTTTTTTCAAACTACAGTATTGTTACTCTAATCTACACTGTTGATTTGTGTTGAAACAAATTCACTACAAAACAAATGTTTAAGATAAAATGGATACAAATAATAAAAATTATCCATAATTTGACTTTCTCATTTTGCATTTTAGATTCTTGAATAAAAATTGTTGCCAAATCATAGGCTAAATGAAGGTGTTCTTTTTTTTTTCCTTTTTCCTCAAGTGAATTGGAATTATGCCTTTTTTTTCATCACGGTCACCCCTTATCTTGATTATTGCAGACACATGTATCTTTTACAAGAACTGTGATTATTAGAGAAACTTTTGACTCTGTCTTCCCAGCTGAACCCTCACAACTGTTTTATTCAGTTTGATTAAGCAATTTATCTGTAACTATTTTTTTAATATATGTCTGCAGAATCCATTGAGAAAACTTTTAATATGCTTTATCCTTGAATCTATGTTTTTTTATGAAATAAGCAACATTCAAAGATATTCACCTCATTAAAAATGCTATGCTATCCTTAAGCTTTGTAGAAAAAAAGATTATACCTGGCTTAAATGAATGTTAGAGCTCCAGCTTAGTTTCCCTAAGAGTCATTAAAATTATGTGAAAGTGAAAGTGAAAGAAGGCATTAAGACTCTGCAAAGAGAACAGCTTCAGTAGAACCAGAAATAAAAGTTTTTAAATTACAACCAAAGGTGAAGCAATTTATACTATTAAATAATAATTGCTGGTATTGTCTTAAGATTGATTCAAAGGTTTTAAAAACTCCTCTTTTACAGCCAATCATAGTAGTTTTATTTTTTATACCATATTGTCTTGAAAAGAGAAAGTCTACACTTTTATCCCATTCTTAGTGAAAATTCACTAGTAAATCCTACTTTGCATTTACAGTCTGCTAACACTATGCCCTCAGTTATGACATCCTAACTGATCAGTAGTAACTTGGTAATGATTGCTTCTCAGTTTTTTTTTTTTTTAATTAATTTGTAGTGTAAACTCACTATTTCATAATGCTGGGTTTTTTTTTTTTTTTCCCAATTATTATTTTTCCTCCTTCACTGTAAGACACCTTAGAGTCCCTTCCAACCCTCTGCAGCCAGGACTTTCTGCTTATTTCCAAAAACATTTCCCATTTCTCTCAGGCACATTTGACATGCTTTTTACATGCTTCTCCTCTCCTCATAAAATAGCATAAGTGACACAGGCATCTTACATCTTACCTATAGGTTTGGCACTTCAGATGCAGTACCAGACTGAAGTGGCTATTTGTTTTCTAGGTTGGAAATGATTTGCATTCAGCCTTCTCACAGTGTGTGCAGAGAGGGTTGTGCATATCAGCCTGCATATATACATACTGAATGATTTTCTAAAAAGTTCCATTAGATGTCAATATGCACCTTTATGTAATAATGTACCTAAATGAAATTCTGTATTTAAGCCAATAAAGGTTGTTTCATTGCAACTCAAATTTCAATTAGTGTGATGTGAGAAAAACTCTAAGAAAAAAAAAAGCCGTATTTCTTGTTTAATCATGTTTACTAACTCGGATTGAATCATATACAGAAAAACTCACATTTTTTTCAACAGAATTAATAGCAATATTATGAAATAATTTCTGTGGTACATTATAATATGAATGGAAGATAGGATTATTTTGGTGATACACTTGCTAAATAAAAATGTGTAACTACATACAAGTTAATTCATATCTGTTAGCCAAATGTTTATGAGTAATTTCATTTTCAGTGTCAGACTCTGGTCAAG